GGGTTTTAATGTCATTTCCCCCCCACAAGCTCCATTCCTTCAGGACATGGCTCTGGCCAGGCAGCGGGGGGCATGGGGAGGGGACAGGGATGAGTGGATAGAGGCAGGAGCTGCACAGCGGTTTGCTCGGCACGGGCTCCACGTCCACCTGGGAGCAGCTGTTTGAGACCTGAATTGTTCTTTTTTCTTTCCCTCAGCTGAAATCTTTGGGGTTTAAAACAGTTTCCAAATTTAGGGGGATGCAAAGTTCAGTTCGTCATTTCAGTTCTAAGGAAAAGGACTAAACCCACCACCAGAAAATGCCGTTTCTTTCTGAAATGTGGCATCAGTTTGTTACTCCTGGTTGGAAAGAGAAAAAAAAAATAAACGGATTGGCATTTTTCCACATATTTTCCTGTTGCTCAAGCTTACACAGTGCTCGGCTTTGTGGCAGCACCGGGGAAGCTAGCGAGGCAGCGCAGTTAGAAGCAGCTGCTAGGGCATAGGATTACCAAGCAAATTTAAAATACGAAGCCTTGAATATTTCACCAGGGATGCAGATGCTAAAGGAATCTGCTCAGCCTCTCGGCTGTATCTCATTGCCCCTTGCTCTGTCACTCCCGAGATGGGTGTTCAGCTCCGCTGTCCTTGCAGCTGCCCATGGGATGGGGCTCCCTGAGCTGATGAGGTGCAGGGGATCCCCGAGGCACCTCGTTTTCCCGGCCTTGCCGCCAGCCCCTTGCCCCGAGCTGGGGTGGGTGACGCAGCCAGTGGGGGAGCAGCTCGGTGCTTGGGAAAACCCCCGAGGAGCAGGAGCCCAAATCCTGCGGGGCCGGCTGGAGGCAGGTTGGAGCTTGCCTGAACTAAGGTTTCCTCGGAGCGAGGTGGTTCATCTTGGTGTTTCACAGCAGGATGGTGAAGCTGCGGAGTCGCTTCCCTCCGCCGACAGCACGGGGCAGCACCGGACCTCAGGAGCATCCCGCCGCTGCTCTCTGGGTTTGGGTGGATTTGGGATTTGCTCCTTTGTTTCAGCTTCTTTCCCTTTTTCTTGCAGGCAAACAGCGCAACGCCGCAATGCCAGAGCCGTAAGTAGCGCGGGTTTCCCTCGGATTTTGCTAAATCCTCACCTGGCTGCTGGGCTGCTCTTGCCGGCTGAGCTTGTCCATTACTGGGGGGTTCAGCTGGGAGACCAGCCCATGCTCTGTGTCATTCCCCTTGCAAAAACTATCTTTAAATAAAAGTTGTTAGCCACTTCAATGCCCCGATTTGAACCTTGGAGCTTTCCTAGATCCTGAAATAGGGATCCAAGTTGGGGAGCACCACTTTTCTTTGCCACGAGGCTCTTTGTAGTACGTTATACAAATATAACATGTTCCCTGGCATGAACAGAAGGGAGAAAACTCCCTGCAAGGCTTTCATCAAGCAGTGACACAGAGATGCCCCAGTCCTGCAAACCTGAATGGGATCCAGGCATCCTGCCTGCCAGCCCTGGCTGTGCGGGGAGCGTGTGGAGGAGGGTGCTGTGGCCCCAAGCGCAGGGACCAAGCTGGGGCTGGCACTATGGGCACTGTGACAGCTCGTGTGCCCCTTTTGAAGGCGTTTTGGCTTTCTGAGCAGCGGCCCTGAGCACCTGCTGTTTTCCAGAGAGCACTGTCATCTCAGACCTGGCTCACTTGCAGGTGGCAACTATTAGATAGAGAAATAAAGCTGCAATCACACAAGGTGCTTTTCTTCACTGTCACCTCTTTTTGACTCTTATTCACTGATGCCCTGTTCTCTTTTCTTGTTCTTTGTTGCTCCTTCCTGAACACACGCCTGCCTGCAGGGAGGTAAGTGCTTTTCCTTTCGGGAGTGATCTTGATGCTACTCTGCTTTTGCTGTGAGTTTGTTTTCAAAGGGTTTTGTTGTTTTTTTTTCCCCCCTCCCTTTTCCCCTAGAGAAAATCCAAGATCACAGCCTCACGCAAACTCTTGTTGAAGGTGAGTCCTGAGGGCTGGAAACTCCCTGGGGTTTGTCTTGCTGGGGAAAAGGAGCCGGGGTTGGAGTGCGTGGTTGGTGGGACAGTAAAGAGGAACGGCAGAAGTATGGGCCTTGGGGAGCAGCTCCCATCCCACCTCTTCTCAGAAATCCTCACTCATGTGGGCTTTGTGGTCCATACACCAAACAAACCTCCCCTCACCTCCACTTTGCTAAGATGGGGAAAAACTGAGACGCCTTCTGCTCGAAAGCCACAGCCCTTGTGTTTGTGCACCAGCAGCTCTGTTGCACAAGCTTGGGAGCTCCCCAGGTGGTGGCTTGGGAAAATCATTTTCTGCCACAGCAGAGCAAACCGATGCAACGAAACTGCCAACATCAGCATCCTTCAGGACCACCGCCACTGCAGCCCCATGGCATCTCTGGCCGTGCTGCTCTCCCTGCCTTCAGGGTCACCGCACAAAAGGTGTAGGGACTTTTTGATGTGTGTTGTGATTTTTGGAGGACAGCCACATCAGGGGGGAGGTTTGGGAGGCAGACGGGACTGTCCCATCCTACACACGTCGCGTGAGGAGGCTCAGGGGGGACGGAGGAGCCTGTATATTCACACCTCTGCCATTTACTTGTGCTCGTAGAGTTTGATGCTGGCAAAAGCGAAGGAGGAGTGGGATCAGGAGATTGTGGACAAGCAGGCAGAGAAGGAAAGATATCTGTCTGAGCGGGTCACACCGCTGCACACCAGTGGGCTTTCCTTGAGCCAGCTCCAGGTATTTGTCAGGTCCAAGGGTGGAGTGAACTACTTGGGAGCGTGGAGGAGCATCTCTCACCACTCTCCTGTTGTGCTTTGGCCCCCAGGACCTGTGCAGGGAGTTGCACGAGAAGGTTGAAATTGTGGATGAAGAGAGATACGACATTGAAGCGAAATGCAACCATAACACTCGGGAGGTAGGAGGCAGGATGGGCTTTTTGCTTCTATATTAACTCCCTCCCAGATGGTATCTTTGGCCTCGATGGGGGTCTGTCATGGGCTGGGCTGAGCTTGGATGTGGGACATACACCAGGGTTGTCTAAGGGTTAGTGTTTGCTCTGCAAGGCATCCCTCAGCACAAGGTTCATCCCTGCCTCAGGGAACTCAAGCTGTCCACTGGGTCTGCAGGCAACCTCCTTGCTCTCCTGGTCATCCCTTGTGGGTCCGAGAGCTCCTTCTCATGGTACAACTGTCATCTGAGCAGGCTGGGACGAGGCAATGTCAACAGCTCTGTGCTCAGGTGGACAGTCCCGTGGTGGAGATGGTCCTCACGGCGGCAGGAGAGGCACAGACCCCTCTGGGGCTCCAAGCTTTTTGTGCAAGACAGCCATGCAATGACCTCCCCTGCTTCCTCATTTCCTCAACCTGCAGATTAAAGATCTGAAAATCAAAGTTCTCGACCTCCGAGGAAAGTTCAAGCGACCCCCGCTGCGGCGAGTCCGCGTCTCCGCCGATGCCATGCTGCGGGCTCTGCTGGGCTCCAAGCACAAGGTGTCCATGGATCTCAGAGCCAACCTGAAGTCTGTCAAGAAGGAGGACACGGAGAAGGTGGGTGACTCTTCTAGAGGCCAGAGAAGGAGACACCTCCTAGGGATGCTCTTGTCCTTCTCCAAGCCCCCTGCGAAGCCTGTGTGAGTTGTGCTCATCCCTTGTAAGCCTCAGAAATAGCACGGGGCATTCGTTGTGAGGCACTGCCCGTTGCGGGATGTTGTAGGACCACATGGGAGCAGTTTGGCTGGGCCAGGTAACTGGTGGATGATAACAAGTGAGATTTATGGCTGCATCTGTGATGCTCTTCCCTCCCAGAGCATGTGGGGGTCTTTTAGCTGGGCCCCCCTTGGCACATCTGTTGAGCTGCACTTGCAGAGAGTTTGGTCTTTGGTTTTCTAGGGAACCAGGAGAGCTCCTGTTTGGTGTAATCACACCCAGAAAACCCCAAGAAACTCCCAGTCCCAGATTAGATAGCACAGAGCAAGCCCAGCAAGCACGCTTGGCCTGAGATAAACATCCCAGTTCACACCGGTTTTGCAGAGATGCGAAAGGGCAAAGTCTCAATACCAGAGACGGAGAGTGATGCCCAAACCTGCCTGGGACAGGCACCCCAACGGCAAGCATTGTGCTGCTTTCCTAGGGCCTCTCCCCAAAGGAGTTTTGCCTTTTGGTCCCAGCTCAGCAGGTTGTAGGAGAGCAATTTTTAATTTTTCCTTTTTTTCCTCTTGTTGCTAGTATAGCACATTTTCAGTCCTTTGGATAGAAAACTGTGTTTACAGTCCTCAGCGCCAGGTGGTGAATAGATCTGAGTTTATTTTAGATGTCGTGAGATGATTTTGGGGCATGGCTTGTAATCTATGAATGCTTGTGGGTTGGCACAGCAGACACCTGGGCATGCTCCCAGAGCTGCCGTCATCTCCCCTTTCTGTGCTGGAAGCGCCTGCCACGCTCTCACTGTCACCCCAGCAATCTCAGTCCCCCCAGAGAAGGTGGGGATGAGTTTTACGTGGGCTGGGAGACCTATGCAGAAATCGTTTCTGCTTGTGTTTGCCCTGGTGTACTGGTGGTTTCGTCCTCCTAAAGACATTTTCTGGGATTTCTGAGCCTTCTAGTGTATTAATACAACTTAGCCAGGCTTTGGAGGGGTATCCACATGAATCCGGACCTCCCTGCAGAGACCAGACTGCTATTTGCCATCTTCCTTGTTGGCTCCACGTGCAGGGACACACGGCAGAGCTGGCTCCGAGGGAGGGGGTGTTTGCAACAGGGCGTTTGCCTTCCCCATGCTGCCTGTGTGCCAGCGCCGAGGGCTCTGTGCAATGGGGTGGGACAGCGTGGGGCTGCTGGTCATCCTGTCACACAGCCATTGCAACCGCCGTCCCCGTCCCTCCTGGCAGGAGCGCCCCGTGGAAGTGGGCGACTGGCGCAAGAACGTGGAGGCCATGTCAGGGATGGAGGGGCGAAAGAAGATGTTCGATGCTGCCAAGTCCCCCACGGGCCAGTGAGAGGTAGGGGACCAGTCCTTCTCCCACTGCAATGCCCCGTGCTCCCTGTAGCATCCCTGATCTGCGCTTGTGGCAGGGCAAATGCAGAAGTTGCCCCCACTCGTTGCAGAAAACGGCATCGCATGCCCCATCTCCCACCCCACACTTGGGACGGGTGCCTGTCCCGCACGTCCCGGCCATGCAGCCCCTGCCAGCAGCTTCTCCTCCTCTCCCAGCTTGTCCTCCCCGGCTCTACGGGGTCTGCTGCCCACGCCGCACTCATTCTGCACAGCATGGGCATTGCTGGCACCAACTTTGGGCTACGGAAAGCAGCGGCAAAACCCCTCTTCTGCCCCACTGCTCTGTTTCTTTCCCACAGGAGCATCAGGAAGAAGAGCTTCCCCCCCCCTGCTGCCTGCCTCTCTTT